AAGAAGAAGAAGAAGAAGAAGAAGAAGAAGAAGAAGAAGAAGAAGAACTACTTTATTGTCATTGTACAAGTACAGTGAAACTATGGATGCACCCCAGCAACTGTTCACAATACAGAGACCTTAGAGCTCTTCTAGTCCAACCCCCTGTCCATGACACATGACCTTATATTACCCCAGACAAATAGTGGTCCAATCTTTTCTAGAAAACCTTCAGCAATGGAGCACAAACAACTCCGGGTGACAAGTTGTTCCACTGATCCACTGTTGTCCCTGTCAGGAAATTCCAGATAGGATCACTCTTTAATGAGCTTCTACCCATTGCTTTTTGCCCTGCCTTCAGGTGCTTTGGAGAAGAAGCCTCTACTCTGCGGCAAAATAAAAGAATTGAAAGGGAGCTTGGAGGTCTTCTAGTCCAGCCCCCTGCTCAAGGAGGACACCCTCTACCATTTCAGACAGATGACTGTCCAATCTCTTCTTAAACACCTCAAGCACCCACAAATTCTGGAGGCAAGTAGTTCCACTGGTTGATTGTTCTCATTGTTAGGTTCTAGGTTGCTTCTCTCCTTGATGAGTTTCCATCCGTTGCTTCTTGTCCTGCCTTCAGGGGCTTTGGAGAAGAGCTTGACTCCCTCTTCTTTGGGGCATCCCCTGAGATGTTGGAAGATGCTATCATGTTCCCCACCTAGTCCTTCTACTCTCTAGACTGGCCTTACCCAATTCTTGCAACCATCCTTTGTATGTTTTTGTCTCCAGGCCTTTAATCGTCTTAGTTGCTCTTCTCTACCTTTTTTTTCCAAAGTCTCAACATCTTTTTTGTAATGTGGGGACCAAAACTGGGTGCAGTATTCCAGGTATGGCCTTATTAAGGCTTTATAAAGTGGTACTAATACTTCACGTGATTTTGATTCTATGTTTATACAACCAAGGATTGTATTAGTCTTTTGGCTGCCGCTCCACAAGGCTGGCTCCTGTTTAAGTCATCGTCCCCTAGGACTCCAAGGTCCCTCTCGCAGTTCCTGTTGTTGAGCCAGGTTGAAGCAACTTGTTACTAATTCCAATTGTGGAAGAGAAATTATATTTAAATTACGTGGCTTTTCCTTTCCTACATTGTTCCTTCAACATAATACTTATATAACCAAAAATATATAATTTTCCAGACATTGCAGTTAATAATTTTAGTGCAATAATTGTGTTGGAGTTCATTTTCACACACACACACACACACTCAAGAGCTTGCAATTTTCAATAATTAAGAACATTTAACAATTAAGCTAATAGGCCTTTTATTTTAAAGGGCCAAAATAATATAACCAGTCTAGTTCTTTAACCTCTAGAGCCATTTATCAAAGCCATTAAATTAGAATGATGGCACGGAATGTTATCACTTGACACAACACAAAAGAAAAATTGTTATGAGACAAATTGATAAAATCTTTTAATGCTGTCAAATTTGCCTAATGCAGCCTTCAGGTTCATCTATAAAAGGGTAAGCTGAACGTTGGCTCATTTCTTATTATCCTGAGCTATCAATATATAAATCAGCTCTGACACGATTCCTCCTAAATCATCTGTATTATACACAAAGGAAAAGGGTTTAACAGCATAGAGTGCACTCAAGCTAATCTTGTTCTAAAAGAATCGAAAGGCTGGTTTTTTTTCTTCCCAAACTGGCAGGAATTCAGGTGCATTAGGAAAAAAAAAATATGAGGGAATATTTCTTTTCATGATGCCTTCTAAATGCCACTGTGGAAAAGTTGAAAAATAAGTTTCAAACTTCCTATTTCCTTGCAAAAAGTTATTTTTCTCTTCACTTGGCATCAAGCCCTGGAATAAAACTTGGCACAGTCCATTTTCTTAGCAACAAGACGGTGATTTAAATGTAATGTTTCCTCTTTGTTTTGCATTACTTGAGGGGCAGGGAATAATAGCAAAAGATGGTAAAAAGGCAGTTGAAAATATGTAAGTTAAATCCGGTTGGATCTATCCCAAATTACAAAACAAAACAATTATTTTTGCTTAACTTCATTTAAGAATCAAACCGTTTTCCTCTGACGTAAAACCGATGCCTCTTTTGGAGTATTTTATGTGGTAATGTCCTCCTGTTTTAAATCATCTGAATGACCAAAACATTTCTTAATTTTTTTAAAAAGTGCTAATAGTGCAATGGCTACTAAGGTTTGCTTGCAATGTGCACATAATAAAACAGTCATTTCAGCCTTTCAAAACCTAGAGAGAAGCCAGATTCCCACAGGAAAAAGAGCTCCTTCCAGATTGAAGAAGGCTGCCTGTTCTATTAACCTGAATGGAAACAGAAGGAGAAAAGTGGATTCCAATGGGAAAAGCCATTGGACTGTGAGCCAGGGAGACACATAAAGGGAATAATCAGGAAAAATTACCACCCACTGTTTCTACAATGTGCTGGCCAGCCTATTTTATTGAGGAAATTTCTTCTCCATGAATTGCAATCAGGACGGGAGCAATTTTGTATTTCTTTACTACCCAAAAACCTAAGAAAGCAATCCAAAGGAGCCAAAATACATAGGATGCTTTC